GCGGTGCTGCCGCAGGCACTCGTTGCCTTTGCTCTCTGCCAGTTCGGCAATCTGCTGCCCCCACCAACGGGCCTGCCGGTAGCTGCTGCACTTCAGGACGAGGGACCTGCGGGGGACACAGAACTCTCCCAGCAGCTGGCGGGGGCACCCGGTCCTTGCCCCGGCCAGGCTCCCGGCCATCTCGTGGGGCAGGGAGGAGACCTGAGAAAGGGCGCTCACCGGCTCATGCTGGCTTCGAGGCAGGAGGGCGGGAGAAGCGCAGTTTGTTCCGTGGCTGCCCCCCCAGAGCTTTGCCCAAACTGCGGGGGTGAACAAGGGTCACTCCGACCCGTCTGACTAACCTGCAGCTGTTGTCCACACGGACCCCATACTTCGTCTCCGTGGGTTTCTTGCCCACTTGGACGCTGAAGGCCGGGTCGAAGAGCAGCACGCAGGAGATCACGCCTGACTCCGGCTTCAGGTAGAGCAGGAAGTCATCCTTCACCACCAGCCACCTGCAGGGTTGAAGGGGAGAGGTGGGGTGGGGCGGGGCAGAGCAACCGGACCCCTCTCCGCCCCCCCCCCTCCGGCAGCCGGGACTGACCTCTTGGACCAGCGGTAGCAGACCTGGTGATGCCCAGCGCAGTTTAGCCCCTGGACGCGGTGGCCCCCCGACCGCTTCAGGATCATGCCTTCTCTGGAGGGAGAGGAAGGGGATGCACCGCTTAGAAATCGGTCTGTGGCCCAGCCCCCCACCCCAGCTGCTCAAGGGCGGAAGTCAAGGCTCGACTCACAGGCCTTTGGGCCCGAGGTCTGGAAGGAAGGAGAACCGGCTCACGTCCAGGAACTCTGCCTGCAGAGGAAGGAGCAGATGGTGCTCAGGAGAACCAGGCCCAGGCCTGGAAACACCCCCCAGCCGAGGGGGAGAGAGAAGGGGCCGTACCATCGCATGGTAGTCCCGGTAAACGCTCATCTCCAGCAAGGTGTTCAGGTAGCTTTCAAGCTGTTTCTGTGGAAAAGAGCCAGGAGGAGTTGGGGGGCGCTGAGCTCCCCCTCCACACTTTGCAATGCCCTGTCAGCAGCCCCCACCTCCCTGGGCATCCAGACACATCCAAGCAGCCCCAGTTCATTCAGCCCCCACCCCGATCTCTCAAAGCCCTCCCCCCGAGTCCCTGGAGGCGGCTGAGGGATCCCTCTCCGTGCAAGACGTGGAGACCCTGCCCTTGCCTGGAGCTGCCCAGCTGACCGGGCAGAGCTACACTGCCTTCCTTGCCACTCAATCCAGCTCTCGGCTGCCTCACCTGCTTGCTGGATGGACGCCGGGAAACCTCGCCGCCCCCGTGGGGCAGGGGGGGCAATTCCAGGGAGCTTCGTCCTGGCCACGAGCCGTGCAGGACAAACCTGCCAGAGAGAAAGAGACTCAGCGGCTCCACCTCTCCCTGCCCGGAAGGAGCCAAGGCCACAATGCCAGCAGGTACCTCCAGGCTCCTGGGGACCCAATGAGGAAGCCCCCCACCCCATCCCCGGGTTGGGAACAAGCTCTCCTTGCTGAGGGGTGGGGGGCAAGAGTAAGGCCAAGGCCCGGCTGGGCACATGGATCTCCCTCAAAGCCAGGCTAGAGAAATGGGGCTCCCTTTGGGGTGAGAGATGTGATAGGCAGTACCCTGGCTGAGATCATGCCATGCCCTTAAGCAAGGCAGTTAATGCCTGGGGGGTTGTGTGCGTGTGAGTGCATGTGTGTGAGGCTCTTTGGGTCAATGGGCTGGGCAGATGGAAAATATGGGCTGATTCAGCAGGCGGGTTAGGTGTGTGTGAACTCAGCTTGAAGACTCCTGTACCAATGGTCAACTCAGCCCCATACATAAAAAGCAACGAAAAAGGAACGTCAAAAGAATCCAGGAACTGGAGAGCTTCTCCTCTCCTCTGCTGGGATTCAAGGGAAGGGGCCCGTTGTTCCCTCCTCCGCCCCTGGAATCACGTTAGCCAGGGGTGCAAGATGCCTCCTTGGTAGCTCGACCTATGGAACTCCCTACTGAGGGAAACAAGATAGCTCCCTTTCTCTCTTGCTGCCCTCCACTGGTTTTCATCATCTAGACCAGCGTTTCTCAACCTTGGCAACTTTACACTGTATGGACTTCAACTCCCAGAATTGGCTGCGGAATTCCGGGAGTCGAAGTCCACACATCTTCAAGCGGCCAAGGTTGAGGAACACTGGTCTAGATGTTTAAGCAGACCAATTTGCTGGAGTAAGTATCAATTTCTAAAATATTATCAATGTACTTTAATTTATCCAATCAAGATCACTTAAGGTGGAAAAGCAGGTTATAAATCCAATAAACAACAATATGTCAGAGTTAAAATTGTGATAAAAAATTTCATAGTATCCATAACTGAAGGTTTTGCTTGCGTTAAGGCTTTTCAGGGGCTTATGAAACTGTTGTTAAATTCTGCTGGCAATTATGTGAAACAATTTAGCCTCTTCTTGCCAAGTGCAAGGCTGTGTGCGCGAGTAGAATCTGCCTGTGATTACACGAAGGAAGGATCGTGCATGCAACAGGGGAGGGAAAGAAGAAACTTGCACAAAAAGAAAATTATGAATCATGAATTTTGTAGAGAGTACCAGGACAGCTCTGTCAACCAGCCAGCTGAGATATATATTCAAGTCACCAAAAAGAGGTCATTCCAAAAGATGCCACAGGACTTGTCCTTGGCCAGCCACTGTGGAATATTTGCAGCAAACGGAAAGGAAATCATATGGGCATTTTACTGGCCCAAATCCATGCCCCTGCTTTAAGATTTATACAAGAGGATAACAATATGCTTATAGCAGGAGAAATTATCTAATAAATTTGAAAGGGTGGATGGTTCCAGATTAGAACTATGTCAGTGATTACTACAGATAGTCCTGACAACAGGGACTGGAAAATTCATCGTTAAGAGGTGTGGTCATTAAGTGAAGCATCATGTGACTGCACCCAATTTTATTACTTTTTTGTGGTGGTCGTTAAGCGAATCACCACGGTTCCCCATTGATTTTGCTTGTCAGAAGCCGGCTGGGAAGGTTGCAAGTGGCGATTGTGTGACCTGGGATGCTGCAACCATCAGAAATATATGCCAGTTGCCAAGCACCTGAATTTTGATCATGTAACCACAGGGGCGCTGTGACAGTTGTAAGTGCGAGGACCGGTCGTAAGTCACTTTTTTCAGTGACGTGGTAACTTCAAACAGTCATTAAACGAATTGTCGTAAATCGAAGACCACCTGTACTAAACTTTCAAGAATCTCTGTGTCCCAGTCATCACTGAGAGTAGCCTTCCCCAACCTGGCCCCCCTTCTCAGCTCCTCCAGCCCCTGGGGCTAATAGGAGACCCTGCCTGGCTACAGCACCTGAATCTCACCGGGGCAGTGGGAGCAGGCTCAGGAGCAGGCGATGCTTCATCAGGTCCCTGTGCAGCTCCTGGAAGTTGCGGAAGAGTTTCTTCATGCTCCAGGTGAATTGGCCATGGCTAAGCTGCAAGATGTACACTGTGCTGGGCCGCACCTACTGGGAAGGAAAGTTGTGCAGGGCCCTTCAATGGATCCTAGTGCAAACCGCCACCCCTCCCACCAGCAACCATAGAGCTAGATGGAAAGAGCACCTCCAGCTGTGGTGCCCTGTGCAGAATTGGGCACTTTGTCCCTGCAGGAAGGGATTAAAGGGGTGGCCCTCCTGAGGGACTTCCCAGCCCACGCAGTTGAGGAGGGAGCTGTAGAGAAGGGCCCTCTGGATTTGGGCCCCAGCCAGTGGAGGCAACAAAAGGGCCCCTACTGGAAGGATGCCCTTCCTCATCAGGTGGGGAAAGAGCTGTCTGATGTCCCCATCCCTTCCTCCTGCTCTCTCCCCTGGGACTGCATCCCTTCCACCAGGAGCCTGCAGCTGCAGCCCAATTCCTCCCTCAAGGCCCGTGTAGCACTTACAGCTGTTAACAGGAACCAGGTAACTGGAAAATACGCATCTAGTTACTTGGCACAACCTTGAATTGCAGCTGACGGAGACTTCCTCTCTTATCCCTCAGATGCAAAGCATCCTGCATCCAGCTGGCCAGGGGACAGACAGCACCTCCCAGAATTCCCGGGACAGCACCCGGCCTTTGGTCATGTTGGCTGGGAATTCTGGAAGGTCTGCAGGCTGAGTAGGCCAACCAAGGGCTGCATTGGCAGAAGGCCATTTCTGGTGTTCTTAAAAGCAAAATGATTTGGGACTCCAAACAATTTACCAGACATCAAATGTCTATAAACTATTTCTCAGTCTTACAAATAACTGACACGACAATATGCACAAATATGGAACAGTTTAAATATGAACTTCCTTACACAAAAGCATAGCTATTTTTCAGTTTATGTATTCCCAAAGTGAAAACGGCTCCAAAACTGCATGTGAAATTGCTGTTTTTTCAATTGGCAATTTGCCCAAAGGGCCTCTATCTCCCCCAGGTCCCTTAACCTCTCAGTCTCCTATTGACAGGGACGAACAAATTCCAAGTCCTCCCATGCGATGGCTGGCTGGTGATTCTCCCCCTGGGACTAGAAACAGGCTTGGCTGCCAGCAGGACTCTCCAGGTCCTCTGGTCGGCTCTTTCCTGCATTCCTGCTTGGCCCCAGCTCTGAGCCTGGGGGAGAAACATGGTTCTGCCTTGAGAAGGGAGGGCCAAGCACTTGCCTCCCACCACCGTCTCCAGGCCAAAACAAGTTGCTAATCAAACTGTTTCCTAAAAAAAGCAGGGCCCTGAGAAATGCTAGACTTTGCCCCTGTGGCCAGTCCTGTATGGGAGTCACAGGCTTGCGGCTTATGGGCAGGTCCCTGTAGAGGGACCGACTCTCCTTTGCTGCCCCTCACCTTGGAGCCGCTGGTGTACCTCTCCGTGCTTTCCACTCGTGCCACGATGGGCACCCCCTTCAGGAAGTGGGGGCCCTGGGCGTGCAGTGGCATGGGCTCATAGACCACCATGGGAAAAGGACATGGCTGACCTGGGAAAGGAGGAAGAACTCAGCCCAAGACCTGAGGAATGCCAGGAGCCACCCCCAAATTCCCCACCTGCCCTCCTGGCCCAGCCTGACCTGGAGCTGCCCGGTCCTGAAGGGCGTTGCTCTCATCGGCTTCTCGCGGCTCCATTGAACAGTCCAAGATCTCCCCACCAAGGGCCAGGTGTTGCCTACCTGGAAAGGAGAGGGATGAAGCAGGAGGGGTCCTGAGTCCCAGGCAGGCCTCCCCATTGTCTCCTCTCCCTGGAAGCCCCCCCCCATGCAGCAGGTGCCTTAGCCTTGCAAATCAACATAACTCCTTTGAAGAAGGAAGTGGGGAAAGGTGGCTGCTGGGTCGGAGCCTGAGAAGGGCCTGGTTGCAGGCAGACACATTTGGCAGAATGGCTAGTCAAATGGGGATGGCAGTGACGGGAGAGGGTACAGCAGAGGGGGAGGACACACTAGGGCTCCTCTCTCCCAGGGCAGCCTTGGCAGGACGGAGCTCTGGGTTCAAGCCCTGCAGGCAAGCTGTGCAACCCCCCCGGACTGCCTGCAGGCAAGCGGCTGGGGTTGGGCTGTGGGTACACTGTGCACCCCCCCCCCAGGGGCATGAGGAATTTGGGAGCTTCTCTAGGCTCCTTCAACGCAAGCTCCGGCGGCGTCTGAGCAGACTATGAGCCCACAGGGCTGCCTGCAAGTCAGAACAGGCAACCCTAACCCTCCCCAGCGAGGGTTCAGCTGCGCCTTCTCCCAGAGGCAGGCGAACATTTGCTGGAGGCCACGAATGGCATGCTACGCTAACCCAGGAGGGGTTAAATTGGGATCTCCTCAAGTTTCTGGGAAGACGGGAAACATTGAATCCTCCTCCTCTGCGGGACTGAGGCGCAAGGCAGTCGGTTCGCCTGTGCTTGGCTAGTTGGGGGTCCCGCCGCTCATCCATTTTGCCCCCAGCGCCGGCTCAGTTACCGGTGAGCGGGGACGGACGCCGCGGCTGCCTCCTCTTCCAGACGTGGCTCGAGGATTCCTCCGGACCAGTTCGCCAAGGCGCGCAGGCCACCCCGGGCCCCA